TATTACGTACTTTAATAAAAAGTCAAACCAAGTCTAACTAAACTCTTTGCAAGTCTCTACTCAATTTAATTAATTTTCTAGAGTAAGGGAAACGTCTGCCAACTTCTTTAGCTGAGTAATAAAGGCGTATAAGAAAAGAATTCATCCCACACTCACACACACATATATCCATACATATATATATATGGGTGTAATTGTAAAATTTACTGGCAAAAGGTAAACGAATAGTGTTTACATTTCAGCGGAAAGAGAGGAAATCCGTGCGACAAAGGTGCTTAGCACGAACGTGACTCAGACAATGGGAGTGTTGGCCATTTCTCAGGCATTATTAGTTTATTTGACAACTTGTATGGTCATTATCCCTTGTTGTCGGACCTGATGCTGATGCTGACGCTGATGCTGTGGCTACTGCAGCTAATTTGTGTCGCACACAGGCTCAGCGGAATCCCGGCAAAAGTGCCGCAAAACTTATGAGGAAATTTGGTGACCGAGCAGAAGAAAGAAATGAAAAGAGCCGAAATTTTGCAGATTTAGTGAACGAGCCATGAATGAAGCGAAATTGTTAGTTCCTTACCTACGGCAGGCGGTGCGCTGCCTTTGAAGCTCGGAGCACCTTAGCCCGAATTCGATGGAACCATGCGGTGTACCTTCTTTTCACTTCACCTTGTTGACATTGTCGAGCGCTCAAGGTCCGAGCCCAACTATTGTTTCGGCTCGCCGTGCGCCCTATGCATATTTCTAGGAAGCTTTCTTGATCGTTGCCGATTCGGAAGTGACATTAGCCCAGCCGACATTGAGCCCTGAAGTGATCTATAACAGGGCGTGGGAAATTATCGAACCAAGCGGGTGGCAATCAGATCTCTCTGTCTCCCCCTCTCTCTCACTCTCTCTCACACACACACGCAGTTTGGACTGCAAAAGTCCTAATACAAATTAAATGGCTTTGCGATTAGCAGATATATATCTACATCGAGGCAATATTGATAAGGGGTTGGGCAGCCATGACGACACGTCATTAAAAATGAGAACCGATCTGAGGGCACATCTGCCGGTGTTACGGGTTGGACTTTGGGCTTTGGGCTTTGGGGTTGCTTGCCGATAAATGCGCAGATAATGCGACACTTGAAATACCTTCGGGAGAGGCAGTCAACTGAAGCATTAGGGCATTGTTAGAGGATTTATGACATCAAACATGGAACTAAAGCGCGCTCAGTTAATGTCTAGGGTTTAATTGTTTTCACAGTTGCAACTCGACTGCTCCAAGGCAGCCCAGTCGACGGGGTAAGGAGTGCTGTCAGTCAGTCGAGTCTTTGGTAACCGCGCTTAAGTGCCAGCACTCTTTCTTTTTATATCACTTTTTATTTATTCTGTGTAACCCCTGTGCCTATCATGGGAATGCTTTTGATTTGATTTCAAGTGTGCATTTAAAGGGGTGCGTGTGTGCCTGCCTGCCTGCCTGGCTGCCGCTCTGCCAGTTCCTGAATGGATTTCAATGGACTTTGGCTGCTTTGCAATTTGAAATTTGAAATCTTTTTTTTCCTCTTAAAGCGCTGCCAACTCGACACAATGTTGCCTCTGGCCGGGGGCAATGCGGCTTTGTTGTCGCGGATGTATGAAAAACCCTCTTTAAGGTCCTCAGCATGTGCCTGATAATGCCCCTGAAGTGAGTGTATATCATTAACTCGAGAGCTGCCGGCACTCGCGATTTGATTGCGTTTCTTTCTGCTCTCACTCTCTCTCTCTCTCTCTCACTCTGGTTGTTGTTGTCGTTCGGTAAGAAATCCTATTTGAGCACTTCTCGAGTGCCGCAAGAAGTGCGGAAATTGTTTGAAAGCAAAAATGCGTTTTACTTAAACAGTTTTTATGCGAAAAATCGCTGTGTGTGAGAGTTTTCTGCGCTTTGATATAGGAAACCTCTTAAATTGGCAGCCCCTGATATCGGCTGGGAGCAATTGTGAGAAATGCTTTGGCAACTTCAGCAAATTGCAAACATTTCTTTTGATCCATGAGCCCAGCCAGAAGTTCTCTTAGAGTATCAACAATGATGCAATTGTATTACGGAATCATATGTATAAAATATCTTGAGACGGCTTGTCGAGGGCTTTTATAGCAAATGTAATAATAGCAATCATTTGTCACAAAATAAACATATGTGAAACAGAATTTGGGAATCTATTTGCATTTGAATTATTCATAGACTTGTTTTTGTAAGCGGCAACAAAAGTCAATCGACTTGGCCTGCAGATATACCCTTTAAATAATTTGATATGACAAGAAAGTTATTATAATTAATTTC